ATAAAGGATAATGGAAGGATAAAGTCTTCACCATTGATCAATCCCTTTGCGGGATGCGGCACGCATTCTACTTCCATTCAGAATCGTAGTGGCTTATTGAATGCGATGTGGCCTATACAATGACTTGCGGTGGCCAGCCGATGTACAAGTCAGTGTTTTATCCTCCCAGACGAATCTGGTACCAATTTACCGTCCCCGGAGGGTAGAAGGCTTGGTTGGCCTGGGCGGGTGTCGACCTGGGATTCGAACCCAGGACCGCGCGAGTGGTAAGCGCGCCACTTGTCACTACACCACCTCCGCCTCAATAGTGCCTTATGCCTTTAAATTTACCATTCGCCAAGCTCATTCAAATGGGGCCATTCGTCGCGTTTCTGCAAAAATGTGACGTGCCCTTATTAACACAAAGCTGCGCGACACCACGTCATGACCTTGACCGTTACACACCCTTTTACATCAATGACTGATCTGTGAGTTTACCTGCGACATGACGAGCACCACCTGCCAAGCACCAGCCGCTTGTCCTTTTATGAACAGCTGCTGATGTTCATCGTAGACTACACCGTCCGCGGTAGTGAAATTAACGGCACCGATTTTCCAGTGATGTTCGGCAGTGAACAATAGGTCCGAAAATGTGATATTGTGATACCTGAAGTCATAATTTCAACTTATGTTCCCATAGTTCAGAATGTTCGGCAGGACCCACCAGTAAACACTCAAATATGCGGCAATGCAGCCGATGGTGATACCAGTACCGGCAAAAAGATACGCGTAGACGAGAAGCCCTTTCGAAAGAAGACGAGTTTTCCTACTCCGTGGACGAGTCAGCATGATGTCCTGTTCTGGTTGCTCGTAGGCAAGTGACACAGCCGGTGGCATTTCAGACGCCAGATCGATGGAGAGAATCTAGGATGTAAGGGAATTAAGGAAACTAGCTACTTACTTTCTAGGGTAAATACTTCAATATGACGGCTAATAGTAGCCTGTAAGGAACGCACGTTCCCTTCTCTTGTTTTCTTGACATTAAAGTCTTGTCCACTGCGGATGCTGGGGCGTGTCAGGTAGGGACGGGTCACGATGCGGCGCCTACTCTTTCAATTGCTGAAGTATGCAAGCGACTACAATTGGTGGAAAATGGGTTGAT